ACAAAATGTAGTCCAGAAATATATATGGTAGTGTTTCTATAGAAAAAAATCTTGATCTGGATGTTTTTTATAAAAACATCCAGAGGAGTTCTGAGGATATTTTTGTAAACAAATGTTCTCAGATGTCTCAGAGTTTTATTTATAAAAAAGAGTCCTCATGGGCTGTGGGAAATGTTTTCTATACATAAGGGAATCCTAAGAATGCTGACAATTTTTACACCCTTCACCACACAGGGTATTATGTCTTTGTGCATATGGTTGTAACAGGCAAAAGGAAACGAGATAGACACATGGTTCCTTTTGAGAATATGCATAGAATCACTTTTTAAGTCGATCTATCTACGTCTGTCCATGTTAAATTGTAAACAAAGTATAGGTCGCATTTTTGATTCGAATTGGATGAAATTTGGCACAGCTCATTTATTTGGCCAAGGACGAACCCTATTGAAATTTAGACATTGCTCCCATATATATTTTCGTCCAATTTTATGTAAATAGTACACCAAAGTCCCTTTATATCCTTCAATTTACTCGAAATTTGGCATAGCGTACTGAATTGAATCTAGAATGATGAGTGGTGAGTTTCGTGAAAATCGGTTCAGATTTAGATATAGCTCTCATATTTTCGTCCGCTTTAAGGTAAATAGTGCACCAAGGTCCTATATATCCTTCGTGAAAATTGGTTCAGATTCAGATATAGCTCCCATATATATTTTCGTCCGATTTTATGAAAATGGTGCATCAAAATCCTTTAAATCCTTCGATTTGCACGCAATTTGGCATAGCGTACTGAATTGAGCCTGGAATGATGTGTGCTAAGTTTCGGGAAAATCGATTCAGATTTAGATATAGCTCCCATATATATTTTCCTCCTATTTAATGTAAATGGTAGACCAAAGTCTATATATATCTTTCAATTTGCACGAAATTTGGCATACCGTAATTAATTAGGTCTAGAATGATATGTGTGTTCAGTTTCCTGAAAATCGGTGCAGATTTAGATATAGCTCCCATATATATTTTCTTTCGTTTTGTTGAAATCGGTTCAGATTTAGCTATAGTTCCTATATATTGTTTCGTCCGAGTTTAAGTAAAGGGTGCACCAAACACCCAAAGTTAGGCAGATTAACACAACATTTTGCACAATGTACTAAAGTTAATATAAACTAGCATGTGGAAAGTATATATTTTCTGCCGATTTTATGTAAATGATGCACAAAGAACTCAAAATGTGGCCGATATGCTGTGATAAATTTCGATGAAATCGGCTTAAATTTCAATATGGCTTAAATAAATATTTTCGTTCGATTTTAAGTAAATGGTGCAATAAACTCCTCATGTGTATCAGATATATATCCATATAATCAACGAGTTTCCGATGGATATTTGCTGGATGGATCGATTTGATTAACATAATTTTGTCCCGTTGTAACAAAAATTTCTATATCTGACCAAATGAAAATTTTAGTATAGGTTCCACAATGACATGTGTATGGTTCCAATTTAATTGTACTGGTCCTTCAAAAATGTGACGTCTGTTAGGATTCATCTGTTGAATATACCCAAAGTGGTGAAGGGTATCATATAGTTGGCCCCGTCCAACTACTTTACTACTTTCTTTGGTGGTTCTTTATAGAAAAAGTTTTCAGAGGTTTGAGTATTTTTATATAAAATTGAGTTCGCGTAGGCCTGAGGATCTTTGTTCTATAGACAAAAAAATAGTCATCAAAAAACTTTATAACTAATAAAAATTTACTTAATTTCAAAATTTTCGTTTCCTTGATAGTATGTTCCCAACCATTTTAAATTTAAACCATAGTCTACTAATTTTTGCCAAATCATTTATATTAAAACCCATTTTCATAATAATAATACGTTTTGTTTCAACATCCAACCATTATTACAATTTTCATTATTATAGTTATTGTTATGACAATAGACGTCGACGAACGAAAAAAAAGAAGACAAATATAAAGAACGACATTTAACAATGGACTTATTGTTCGAATGGCAAAATGAACCAATTTGATGGTGGGCGTATTAAAACTAAAAACAGAAAAAAAACTCTTTTTGAATCTTCTACCACATGGCTTTCTTTGCTATAAATCTCGACTTCATAAACTACTCCCCGGCATTGTGACATATGTTTGTTTGTTTTTACGATGGCATTGATCTTTTTATGTCTTTTATCCAAACGGACTTTCTCTTTCACTGATTGTGTTTTTTTTTTCTTTTTTTATATTTCAACTAAAAGTGAAATATTTAGGCTCCCAATGATTCATCATCGATTGTTTGTTTGATTGCTTTTCGACGAATATTTTTGGCTTAACGTCTTAAAGATCGGTCATTCATTCATTTATGTCTTGATTCTTTTTTCTTCAGCTGTTAAGCTTTATAGATGATCATTTGTGTGTGTGTGTGTGTTTGTGTTTTTTTATTAAGTTGAAAGTTAATTTTTTAAGATTCTGCGTTTACTTTCTTCTTAAATTGCCTTTTATATTGATTTGGTTGAATTATGATTTTTTTTTTATTTGGCGAATGGTGAAATGTTTTGCCTGAGGAAAATTTTTTCATAAATCAAAAGTGATGAAAGAAATGTCTGGTCAGGAAATTTTGATGGAGTAGGGTAAGGCTAACTTAGTTTTGATTGGTGGATTCCTGAATTATTTAAAAGTGGACTAAACTCCAAGGGTTATACAAAACTATACATGTGGGTTCGGAATAATAGAAATATCCAAAAAATAAAAATATTTTGGCAAATAAGCTATGTTTTAAAAATTATAAGCCCGTATTTTAATCTAAGTTAAAGAATAAACATAAAAAAATTGCCCAATTAAGGAATAATTCAGAATATTTTATTTGCGAATTAGTAGAATAAAATAAGTATATTTTGCCCAAGAGGACTATACAAATTTATTTCCCTACTTATATTTTAAGTATCAAAAAATTAAGCTTAATATAGTCCCCCACTGCGAATTACCCACAATTACTCTAGCCATGGTCAAAAGTGACACACAAACACTTATTTCACATTTCACACCTCGATTTTTTTCTCCAAATGATTAAAAATACATTTAAAGCCAAACATTTCATGGCTTTGATGTGGTGTTACAACAATTATGCTTTAAAATTACAAGACAAGGCTTATTATCTTTATTAGCTAAAAAACACAGCTAAATAAAAATTACAATAACAGTTGACCAACTTTTTTTCCCACAAAAATTACTTAAAAGCGTCTGCCGATGAGGTGAGAAATTTTGGCCGTTCGAAATAGTACAATGCTCTTCCAACCGTTAGTTACCTACCACAACAATAGTTGAAGACACTGGTTAATGTCTCCGACGTTATGACCATTGCAGATGTTGTTATTTAATTTGGGTCAATATTTACTTTGGTTTGGTCAACACAAAGCAACATGGCATAATACATAATTAGACCAACAATTTTTATGGCAAAGAAAAATATTTAGTTTAAGGTAATTTAAGTGTGTAACCAACAAGACGGACTAAAATAAATAATAAAGGGTTATTATATACGTAATAAATATTTTAATTTTTTTTAGGGGAAAAAAAAACGATTTCTTATCGAAGAAAAATGTTCATTGAACTGACGAAATCCTCAAAGGACTGATGAATTTTTTTTCTGTATTTTTTCTATAGAAAAATATTCATCAGAGAACTGAGGATTTGTTTCTATAGAAAAAACAATCCTCAGAATACTGAGTACTCAGAGTACTGAAGAAGTTTTTTTCTATAGAAAAAACAATCCTCAGAGTATTGAGGATTTTTTTCTATGGAAAAACAATCCTCAGAGTACTGAGGAATTTTTTTCTATAATAAAAAACAATCCTCGGAGTACTGAGGAATTTTTTTCTATAGAAAAAAAATCCTCAGAGCGCTGAGGAATATTTTTGTACAGAAAAAACAATCCTCAGTGAACTAAGGAATTTTTTCTATAGAAAAAACAATCCTCAGAGTACTGAGGAATTTTTTCTATAGAAAAAACAATCCTCAGAGAACTGAGGATTTTTTTTTATAGAAAAAACAATCCTCAGAGTACTGAGGATTTTTTTTTATAGAATAAACAATCCTCAGAGTACTGAGGAATTTTTTTCTATAGAAAAAAACAATCCTCAGTGTACTGAGGAATTTTTTTCGGTAGAAAAAACAATCCTCAGAGTACTGAGGAATTTTTTTCTATAATAAAAAACAATCCTCAGAGTACTGAGGAATTTTTTTCTATAATAAAAAACAATCCTCAGAGTACTGAGGAATTTGTTTCTATTCTATAGAAAAAATATTTTCTTTCTATAGAAAAAAAATCCTCAGTGTACTGAGGAATCCTCAGTGAACTAAGAAATTTTTTTCTATAGAAAATAGAGTCCTCAGTGGGCTGAGGATTTTTTTTCAATAGAAAAAACAATCCTCAGAGTACTGTGGAATTTTTTTTATAGAAAATCCTTAGAGTACTGAGATTTTTTTTGTAGAAAATCCTCAGAGTTCTGAGGAATTTTTTCTATAGAAAAAACAATCCTCAGAGTACTGGGGAATGTTTATCTATAGAAAAAAACAATCCTCAGAGTACTGAGGAATTGCTTTCTATAGAAACAAGAGACCTAAGTACTCTGAGGAATTTTTTTCTTCATAATTTTCATTTTAATACCCCTTTAAATTTATTGGATTCAAAGCAGCCAGCCAGTCAGAAAAAAAATTAAATAAACATTAAAAATGTTGAATAAATGCCAAAAACTATAAACAAATTTATTTTTATTATGACAAGGGAGACGAAATAGTGTCATCACAGCCATCACCATTGTCATAAATATGGCGGCAATGTAATAAATTAATTGTCATCCCTAATGATGTGCCACAATTTACACAATGACATGGTTTGAATTGGACAACAATTGCAATTGTGCGGAATTTTGATGATGTAATTGTAATTTGGTTGGGTTATAGTTTGCAAAAATAAAACAGAAATATAGAAAATATAACACCTACCAATCATTAGCAATGCCGCTGTAAAATGTGAACTGGGTGGTCCGGCTAAACCGGTGGCACCCAATGCAGCACCGCCCAAAGCACAAGCTACACCGCCTAGGGCGACCACAGCTATTAAGGCACGTAGCGGAGGACCGGCAAACCATTGACCGCAGCAACCTTTTCCCGAACGTTCAGAGGGTGATCTGGAAGAAATAGAGGGATATTTGATTATTAATACAAATTTAATAAATTTTGAGTTTTTTTAAATATATATAAAAAATTGATAGGAGCAGATGCGAAGTTTACGATACTAATTCTGCTTTTGTAGAAGTAATTATTCATAAAATATAGAAAATAATATTAGTATATATACCTTAGCATATACCCATAAATGTTTTTACCTCAATTTATTCATGATAAAATTTATTGCATTGTTCAAAGGACAGTCAGCTTAGGTTCTTAAAATATTCGAAAAAAAAATTAAAAATAACAAAATTAGCCATGTATATTAAATTTTTCATAACGCAATATTATGCCATGTCACATTCCACATTTCATTTTTCGAACTTTCTGCATGAAACGTGAGAAAAAGTTCCCTTCGAGATATTAACTTCCTTGGCAAAACTTTCCTGTTTGTTACGATTCGCATGATTGAATTCCAACAAAGCTATCAGCTGTATCATATAATGTTCTATGGCAATGGCAACACCTGTACCGCAAACCCTATATTTTTTGCAAAACCTATTGTTTTTCATTTCCAGGACCAAAAAGACAATGGATTTCTTTTCTATGAAATTCAAAAACAATACCAACAATAGCAAAAACAGGAATTAATCTCATTTTCATCTAGATTTTATTGCAAAGTGTAAATTCGTTCATCCAAAGACACACTCACAGTCGGCAGCAGGTGGTTACCTCCATCACCTCCCCCCGTATACCTCAATTTTACAACGAACATTTTTCAGCTACACCCATCATCATGGATTTTTTTCTCTTCTGACTTTGTCGGAAACAATAAACTATAAACTGAATGCCAGACATGCCAGCACGTCTGTCTCGATTTGGTTCACCGGCCCAGACTGAAAATTATTGTTATGCACCGTTAGGTTTGCTGTCAAGGATAACAGACAGACAGACTGGCATACAGACAAACAAACAAATCTGCAGACACTAAAAACTCGCTGCCAGACTCCGAACACTCATCGTCATAGATACTAACTTTGTCTAGATTTGAATTCTTTGCATTGTCACATTCCCTCTCTCTAACTGAAAATCCTGTTGTTGGTATTGTTATGATTTCTTTAGTCCTACCTGCATATTATTATTTCGTTTGTAAGTGAGAGGGAACAACAAATTTACAAAAAACCATCTGTGACAATGATTTTGTGTTGTTTTTTCTTGGTCATAAAAAGTCGAAATGAAAATATTAAACATAAGTCTGCTGCAGATAATTTAAAGAGGGGGAGGGGGCTTGGAAATTAATATTTATATGAAGTGGGTAGTTATGGAGCGAAAACAGTGGTAGACAGATATTGGAAAAAGGAAAAATGACTTTTTTTTCGAATAGAATGACCTTTATGAAGAATTATTTTCGAGTCCAAGAAATAAAAACTTCGTTAAGTTCGATCGGCCTAATTTTATATATCCTCCATCAGGAAGTACGCATTCAAACTACCTACCTTAATATGGGGACAATGTCACTGAAAATTGTGTGCCATTTGCTTTTTGTAATTTTTAATGGCGTTTTGCAAATGTTAATGGCGATTTTTAAAAACCCAAAACGTAGACCGATATTGACAGCACATGGTAGAGTGGATCATGTATATAAAATCCTCAAAATACTGCAATTGAGAGGGAAAAAATATATGAGGCTTTCACCAAAGTACGGTATTATTTCGGGAGGTGGGGTGGTTGCTTCTGGTTCAATCATTGTATGAGTACTTCCCTGGAAGCTACACCTAAACCGGGACCCATATGTTCGGCGATTCCTATATGGTGTATTATGCCTAATCGAACCTAACATTTCGCATTACAATACCATCCCTCACACTAAATATTAAGTATACAGAAAATCGGTAGGTATCATTATATGGAGGCTAGGTCTAATTGCGGGCCGATATAGTTCATTATCGAACATGACGTTCTAATGTTTTATCTCGATATCCTCCGAAGGTAGAATGACTGCAACAAATGTCTAAATCGTCTTAGAATTCCCTACTTTCAAGGGTAAAACTGATAAACTGACAATTTCGAGTAATAGAATATCCCCCTGCGGCGGTGGAATGCGGTTATATATGCGAACAACCTCAAAACGACGAATAAATCAGTTAACTATTTAAATATAAATCAGGGGTTATATGGGGAAAGATATGCTACCCAATAACAACGCACAGTGCCAACTTACAGATAATTCGGCTCAAAAACGCGATCAAAACCCCCAAAATACCGAACATTTGGGGATACCATTATATGGGTGCTAGCCGTAAAATGGACCTATAATTATTTTTTTTGTGTAGCAATAGGAACCCAATGTATCAAATTTCAGTGACTTCGGTTGGAAAACGTGTTCAAGAACCCCAAAATACCGCATATAGGGAGGGTACTCGTCTATGGGGGTTACTCGAAAAAATTAACCTACATTTATTTTTTTATTTTTTGTGGACAGATCCTCCGAAAAATGCGCTCAAATCCTCCAAAATAATGAAAAATAAGAAAAAGTGGAGCTATTTTTATAATTTTTAGTTGAGAAATTTTGTACCCAATAATAACCCAATGTACAAAGCCCATATTCGAACTTAAATTGTATGCAGATAAAATACAACTCTATACAAAATGTTGGCGATCTATCTCAATTCGTTTAGAGGCTAGAGTGATTACGCTGGTCGAGAATATATGTACTTTATAGGGTCAGAATGATTATTTCGATGAGTTACAAACGGAAAACTAAACATAATATACTCTACATACAAATCAACTTCAGATGTCAGATGTACGACGGATGATCCATCAATTTTACGTTTCGGCCGATGAACAATGCACTGATTTTAGTCGCAAATCACACACAATGGTACGTCTTCTCTTTTCCGATTTTCGAAATTCTCTGAAGAATCCAGACAATATTCAAGCGGCCACTTTTGTCTAATAAATAGGGGTTAGATGAATGGTCCTAGATTTTTCAAACGAAATGACTATAATTTGTATGTTTATGCTTAGTTGTGAAATATATACATAAAGGTCCAGCCCCACAAGAGTTAGATTAAAGGTCCTAGCTGCATCGAAGAGGAGATGTGGATAAAAATTATAATTCTTATCCTGAAAGAATTTTTTGAGGGTATAAAGGTACCGTTCAAATATAAGTATTTCAAAGACCCTAGCCGGCTTATTGAAATGAAAAGGGATTATTATTTTTTTCTCGAAAAGGATAAATTTATTTCCTTAGAAAATGTTGAACTATACCACTTCCCCGTGTATCTCCTAACCATGATACTACCACCACCTCAATTTAAAGTCACAATTTTTATATTCTTTAACTTTGTTCCAATTAGCTAACCTTTAAATATTTAGCAGCTGTGACTATGTAAGGTGGTGCGTTAATCACCTTCTCGCCTAACAACGTTTTTATTTGGTTGACCTCAATTAGCTGGAGACGATTTCATGGCGTCGTAACGACATATATCAATGCAAACTTCAAACAGCCCCTCCAACATAGATAGACATGGAAAACATACAAAAGCCGACAAATACGCTTTGTGGATGTCCTATTGACGACATAGGCATGTTATCTTACGCTCCCCCCAATATACCAAACCTATTCAAGTGAGTGATAGACACACACGGGGACAAGCAATTGATATAAACCGACACAAACAGACAGTGCCGTTGCAAATATCTACTTTTTGGTTGTTGTTGCTGTTGTTGTTCCTTTCATGTCTTCCCTGTTTGATTGACTTTTTCGGTAAGAGAAGTATGACACAAATTGATATGAGTCGTTCAACACGTCATTTCATCAATGTTACCCTCATATGTACATATACACACACATATGTATGTCTGCTGCTTACATATGGGATTGGTTGTCAAACGTTTGTTGTTGCTGAAGATGTAGATGAAGAGATGCTCGCATCTCCACCAACAAGATTGACATGTTACGTATTTGTCTTCCTCATTGTTATGTGCCATAGATAGTGGTAGCGTCAAGACAAGTTGAGAGCATCATCTACTTTTATTCAACATCATTGTCCTCATCATCATACTGGTGGCCAACATCCAACATCATCAGCACATAGTGATTGCTAATTCCCTTATTTGTATGTATTTATATGGGGAGCGGTTGTGTTGATGAGATATTGTGTGAAATTTATGTCAAGTATTTGCTACCTTTTAAAGTTGAAGTCGAATTGGGTGTTTGTGTGAATGTGTGTAGCATACAAGTTTGATGTTTTCTAATGGAAACCAATTAAACGAACATCCTTTCGACGATAATATTCTGTAGCATTGTATATAGGGAACATATATTGAATGTGATGTACATTGAAAATTACACCTTAAAATATGCAGGCAATGAGATATATTGTCTTGGAAAGAGAACTATTCACATAGAGTCTTGTTCATTTAAATTAGCTTCATACTAAGGGAAAGTACAAATGTGAGAAAATAGTAAAGTAGATATTTTTTAATCAACTATATCATTTCCCTTTGGCTTGTATTGGGATCCCGGCACAGTAAACAGATAAGAAATAAAGTTTTGGAATTTTTTTATTGTTATATTTTTTTATACCCTCCACCATAGTATGGAGGGTATATTAATTTTGTCATTCCGTTTGTAACTCATCGAAATATTCATTTCCGACCCTATAAAGTATATATATTCTTGATCAGGGTAAAATTCTAAGACGATCTAGCCATGTCCGTCCGTCCGTCCGTCCGTCCGTCTGTCCGTCCGTCCGTCTGTTGTAATCACGCTATCTTCTGAAGGAATTGAGATAGGATGCTGAAATTTTGCATAGGGTTGTCTTTTGTCTGCAGGCAGGTCAAGTTCGAAGATAGGATATATCGGTCCACGTTTAGACATAGCTCCCATATAACAGTACCCCCCAATTTTCGGTATTTTGAGGTTCTTGGGCGCGTTTTTCAACCGAATACGCTGAAATTTGGTACATTGGGTTCTTATTGGGTACTTAATGTCCCCACAAAAAATTATAAA